AGGACTCTTGAAATTAAAACTGAAATTTCGCCTGGAATAATTCCCAATTCTTCACATGACAAACAGACAGCAGGTGGTTAACAAAGCGAGGGATTAAAATGAAATCCACGCAAGCTCACGCACTCGACATGCATTCACGCTCAATCTCACACTCAAGTAACGCTTACGCCTACACACACTCCATCGCGCATATACTGATATTTAGAGACGGGACATCTAGAATATAATCCCATTCTGGAAAGGCTCATCATCTTCCTTTTATTCATGGGTAACCTGGAATATGGAACCGGTCATTCTAAAAGCCACTCTCGTAGGTTAACTGCTTCTTTGTAGCAACTAACCGTATTACGAAACCGTAAGGAAAAATCTGTGAAAAGATTTCGCGAGCTCTTCGACCGTTCTAGGAGCACCGGGGCTACAAGCGAATGTTTCCAAATACGTCAGAATTGTCTCAGTGGTTTTCTCTATGCTTTTGAAACCTGTTTGGTTAATTTAGAGCTGCCCTAAAACTATTTATCCGTTGGTGTGTTATAAGAGAACGTTGTTCGTCTCGAAAGTTTGCGGTGCCTTTTCCGTTTCATCCTAAACTGTAGCCTGTTCCAGGCGTTCAGATAGTGGGGAGCGTTGCGAAGTAAAAAGGAGTGCGAAAAAATAAAAGCGAGGGAGGGGGAGAGGTGAGAGAGGGAACGCCTGTAAGATTTGTTTTTACTTCCGCTCATTCAAACCGCATCAGCTGTAGGTGGTCTTCACTTGTCAATCAAGACTGGTGTTACAGCGCCATACATTTATTATTTTTCTTGCGAATAAATCAAAATTTGTGAGATCAAAAATTAATATTATGTATACATAATCTTACTAAAAACCTAATGTAAGACTTTCAGACAAAAGAGAGAGCGAGAAGCATTCATGTACAACAGGAGCCTATCACCCTGTGTACAATGAATTTATTTACGGCTTTAAAACATGATTTCAGAGTGTACGTGACAAAAAAAATTTGAATCAACTGACAAACAAATATCGGTCATTTCGATAGAAAGCCGTTTCACTAAAAATCGTTAACTCAGGCAATGAAAATGCACAACAATTGAAGAGAAAATTTACTATTCGTTGATTGAGTGGACCTCGTCAATAGCGATAGCTGCAACTTGCTTTCCAAGCTTTCCTTCTTAAAGTCCTTTTGTCCATTCCTTAGACAACCACGATTTGCGACTTCAGTATACAATTTCACAGCTTCCACTTTTAACGGCTTCATCCACATCTTCTCCCATCATTGCCGCCGCTACTCCGATTTTGTTCAAATGTTCCACTTGGTCTTTCATGATGGCAATCAACGGAGTTACAACAAAAATCGTAAATGGCATTTTATCCTGCCTTCATTCCAACGCACGCTTTATTCGAGGAAAAAGCTAGAAAATAAGACTTTTTCCAAAGCCAGTCAGTAAAATTGCGAAGACATCTATATGACTATTCTGCCGACTAGGTGTTTTGAAACAGTTTCTTTGCTCTTCGCGTTTAGCCTCCACGTTTGGAAAGTCATGCACTCGGCGCTGTGTTTGTTGCGAGTTCGAATTCTGCGTGACGGGACGTAGAGCCTGTCATCACCGCCATATCGCATTTCTCTCTGTGATCGAAGACGCTCCAGTGTTGACACATTCTGTCAAAATCAACCAATCAGAGGGTATACCAGGATCTGGTATATACCGGAAGGCACTTTTGTTAAGAATTCTTACAAGCGTTCCCTCACCTCTCTCCCCAGTCCCCCTCTACTTTTCATCGCTTTCTTTACTTCGCACCGCTCTCCACTATCTGAACGCTTGGAACAGGCTACCTAAACTGTAATTAACTACCCTGCAGCTGATTGGTCCGGTGGAAAGAACGAGGAAATGGAGTAGCCGTAGTTTCTTTAGAAACAGGGGACATTAACCTTTGTCTCTTAGAAGACGGTTGTTAACAATAATCTCAATATTTTGCTAATAACATGTGAAAAAACCACCTTTAAAAATGGTAGGTAAGTTAGTAGAAAAAATACGAATTACTTCGACGATCATAATATGGAGCGTTTGTCCAGGTATTTGCTCTTTCGAACAGTTATTTTACGATAGAAGTCCTCGGGTATCCCTGCTACTGTGTTTGAGAAATGAGCTCCGATCTTTAATTAGCTGGACTGACCAAGTTTTAGTCTGTGCATATGAGCAGTTGTTTTGATATAGATTATTTATAATAAACAACACTTCTCTTCACTTTTAGCTCACGAAGATGAAAAGCCCCTATGCAATTTTCAGGAAGACCATATTGTCTGGGATCGGCAGTTATACGCTCAAGGTAAGCTTAAAATACAATTTAAGTGATTTGCGTAACAAATTTCCCGTTTTGGGTAAAACTGGTTCGGAATAGATTACGAGTAGTCCCCATTTTTCCTCAGGGATAGTAGAGCGCGCGTGAAAATCACCCCACGCGTCTCGCCTTTCTCGCGTGAGGTGATTTTCACGCGCGCTCGCGTTTCGCTCGCTCTAATATCCTTGAGGAAAAATGGGGACTGCTCGTCGTCTAGGTTCGGAATAATTCAAGTTCTAACACCCTTCAGTTTGAAAATGAATTTACTGCAGGAAATTCTAATTAGAAGAAGTATAAAATAACTCCTTAATTCTTTTAATAATTTTTGTTAAATTCCTAAGATAATCATTAATTTCACCAGAAATGTACATGACCCGGTCCCTCCAGGCACTTCACTTGACTTCACTTTGATTCTTTGTAATTTTCATATATTTGACTTCATGTTTCAAAGAATTACTTGCATTTGAATGACGATTATCGCTAGGATAGGGGAGACTTGGTGATATCTATTAAAATGAAATCCACGCAAGCTCACGCACTCGACATGCATTCACGCTCAATCTCACACTCAAGTAACGCTTACGCCTACACACACTCCATCGCGCATATACTGATATTTAGAGACGGGACATCTAGAATATAATCCCATTCTGGAAAGGCTCATCATCTTCCTTTTATTCATGGGTAACCTGGAATATGGAACCGGTCATTCTAAAAGCCACTCTCGTAGGTTAACTGCTTCTTTGTAGCAACTAACCGTATTACGAAACCGTAAGGAAAAATCTGTGAAAAGATTTCGCGAGCTCTTCGACCGTTCTAGGAGCACCGGGGCTACAAGCGAATGTTTCCAAATACGTCAGAATTGTCTCAGTGGTTTTCTCTATGCTTTTGAAACCTGTTTGGTTAATTTAGAGCTGCCCTAAAACTATTTATCCGTTGGTGTGTTATAAGAGAACGTTGTTCGTCTCGAAAGTTTGCGGTGCCTTTTCCGTTTCATCCTAAACTGTAGCCTGTTCCAGGCGTTCAGATAGTGGGGAGCGTTGCGAAGTAAAAAGGAGTGCGAAAAAATAAAAGCGAGGGAGGGGGAGAGGTGAGAGAGGGAACGCCTGTAAGATTTGTTTTTACTTCCGCTCATTCAAACCGCATCAGCTGTAGGTGGTCTTCACTTGTCAATCAAGACTGGTGTTACAGCGCCATACATTTATTATTTTTCTTGCGAATAAATCAAAATTTGTGAGATCAAAAATTAATATTATGTATACATAATCTTACTAAAAACCTAATGTAAGACTTTCAGACAAAAGAGAGAGCGAGAAGCATTCATGTACAACAGGAGCCTATCACCCTGTGTACAATGAATTTATTTACGGCTTTAAAACATGATTTCAGAGTGTACGTGACAAAAAAAATTTGAATCAACTGACAAACAAATATCGGTCATTTCGATAGAAAGCCGTTTCACTAAAAATCGTTAACTCAGGCAATGAAAATGCACAACAATTGAAGAGAAAATTTACTATTCGTTGATTGAGTGGACCTCGTCAATAGCGATAGCTGCAACTTGCTTTCCAAGCTTTCCTTCTTAAAGTCCTTTTGTCCATTCCTTAGACAACCACGATTTGCGACTTCAGTATACAATTTCACAGCTTCCACTTTTAACGGCTTCATCCACATCTTCTCCCATCATTGCCGCCGCTACTCCGATTTTGTTCAAATGTTCCACTTGGTCTTTCATGATGGCAATCAACGGAGTTACAACAAAAATCGTAAATGGCATTTTATCCTGCCTTCATTCCAACGCACGCTTTATTCGAGGAAAAAGCTAGAAAATAAGACTTTTTCCAAAGCCAGTCAGTAAAATTGCGAAGACATCTATATGACTATTCTGCCGACTAGGTGTTTTGAAACAGTTTCTTTGCTCTTCGCGTTTAGCCTCCACGTTTGGAAAGTCATGCACTCGGCGCTGTGTTTGTTGCGAGTTCGAATTCTGCGTGACGGGACGTAGAGCCTGTCATCACCGCCATATCGCATTTCTCTCTGTGATCGAAGACGCTCCAGTGTTGACACATTCTGTCAAAATCAACCAATCAGAGGGTATACCAGGATCTGGTATATACCGGAAGGCACTTTTGTTAAGAATTCTTACAAGCGTTCCCTCACCTCTCTCCCCAGTCCCCCTCTACTTTTCATCGCTTTCTTTACTTCGCACCGCTCTCCACTATCTGAACGCTTGGAACAGGCTACCTAAACTGTAATTAACTACCCTGCAGCTGATTGGTCCGGTGGAAAGAACGAGGAAATGGAGTAGCCGTAGTTTCTTTAGAAACAGGGGACATTAACCTTTGTCTCTTAGAAGACGGTTGTTAACAATAATCTCAATATTTTGCTAATAACATGTGAAAAAACCACCTTTAAAAATGGTAGGTAAGTTAGTAGAAAAAATACGAATTACTTCGACGATCATAATATGGAGCGTTTGTCCAGGTATTTGCTCTTTCGAACAGTTATTTTACGATAGAAGTCCTCGGGTATCCCTGCTACTGTGTTTGAGAAATGAGCTCCGATCTTTAATTAGCTGGACTGACCAAGTTTTAGTCTGTGCATATGAGCAGTTGTTTTGATATAGATTATTTATAATAAACAACACTTCTCTTCACTTTTAGCTCACGAAGATGAAAAGCCCCTATGCAATTTTCAGGAAGACCATATTGTCTGGGATCGGCAGTTATACGCTCAAGGTAAGCTTAAAATACAATTTAAGTGATTTGCGTAACAAATTTCCCGTTTTGGGTAAAACTGGTTCGGAATAGATTACGAGTAGTCCCCATTTTTCCTCAGGGATAGTAGAGCGCGCGTGAAAATCACCCCACGCGTCTCGCCTTTCTCGCGTGAGGTGATTTTCACGCGCGCTCGCGTTTCGCTCGCTCTAATATCCTTGAGGAAAAATGGGGACTGCTCGTCGTCTAGGTTCGGAATAATTCAAGTTCTAACACCCTTCAGTTTGAAAATGAATTTACTGCAGGAAATTCTAATTAGAAGAAGTATAAAATAACTCCTTAATTCTTTTAATAATTTTTGTTAAATTCCTAAGATAATCATTAATTTCACCAGAAATGTACATGACCCGGTCCCTCCAGGCACTTCACTTGACTTCACTTTGATTCTTTGTAATTTTCATATATTTGACTTCATGTTTCAAAGAATTACTTGCATTTGAATGACGATTATCGCTAGGATAGGGGAGACTTGGTGATATCTGTTGTAACCATCATGAATCTCATAACAGTGTATTTCTGGGCATAATTTGTTAATTTTTAGGGGCTGTCAAATCGCGTTACCACTGTCTCGCCCATCCAAGACAGTCTTGGGTTCTGGATTCCATTTTGTGGATTCAGGATTCTAGGATCTGTATTCCGGATACTTTGTCGGTGGAACTTACACCAGTCGTTGGCGGGATTCCGGATTCCTTTGAGCTGAGATCCGGATTCCAAAGCACAAGATTCTTGTTTCTACAAACTCTTGAATCCAGATTAAATTACATGGGGCGAATTATACACTATACGTTTCCGGGAAACTGCCCATCTTCCCCTTCCCTAAGCCAACACTTAACACTTACTTCTCACTTAAGGCAAAATGTTGGCTTAGGGGAAGGGTAGGTGGGAATATTCCCAGAAACGTATATAATGATCCATTATGACACCAATTTTCATACTGTATTATCAAAGAAGTATGTCATATTCTTTGTCCACAGGATTTGTCCCGTATCGAGGTGAAGATTCAAAGCGTCGAAAGTCCAACTTCGTTGAACGGCAACTTTTTCGTTCCCATTACAGAAGACAAAGAGCGATGTCGCTCTCCAGAACTCCTATACCCACCTATTGCGAATATAGCAGAGGTATTTAACGTATTTGTTACTACGCTGTACAGTACTTTGAACCGCGGCAGGATTAGCTCAGTACAAGAGAGAAAATGAGACATAGAGGGAATCTTAGGGCGTTGGCCAGGATATGTGAATTTCACTTAAGTCATATTTAGAGGTTGTAAGCAAACGGAAGTCTATTTACTCGGATGTGCGCAGATTTAAATCGATGGTTTGAAATATCATCAAGTCCTTTGACTAGCTCAAAGCGAAAAATGCAGAATATTATAATAGCGACTCGGTTGAATTCTCTCTTGAACTGGCAATGAATGAAAATTTGCGAAACTCCCCGGAAATCAACTTTCGATTAATTTAAGCCTTCATTGATCTAAAAATAACTTTGGTGAAATTTGCATACCCAAGAGCTAGACTACGAGTGGTCCCCATTTCTCCTCAGGGATAGTGGAGCGAGCGAAACGCGAGTGCGCGTGAAAATCAAAACACGCGGGAAAGGCGTGACGCTGCGGTGAGAGCGAAAAATAAGGGACTACAGACAAAGCCCAAGCTTTTGACCTTATGCGTTGCTCTCACATTTTTCTCTCTCAACACCGCGTCTCGCCTTTCTCTCGTGGGTTGATTTTCACGCGCGCTCGCATTCGCTCGCTCTACTATCCCTGAGGAAAAATGGGGACTACTCGTAGTCTACCCAAGGGCTGGACTGAGCGTCTCCCTCTCTCACCTATTGGTTTATCATTCTCTATTGGTAGAGCGCCAACCTTGTTCTCAGGGACCTCTCCTACTCATCCCTCGGAGCGAGAAGACCCTGGGAACGAGGGTGGGAATAGCGCTTGACTTCAGAACGGAACGTCATGGGTTCGATTCCCGGGGCTGGACCAATACCAGGGTCTTAAAATAACCCGGAAATGAAGGTACTTCCTTTGCCCTGCAAATGGCTAGACCTTCGCGTGTCTCGGATGACTACCAAAAAATGGCGGTTCCGTCTCCAGAAGGGGACGTGAAAGTAATATCAACAATGAATACTTTCTTGCATGATACATTGATACTTTAATCAAGTACCAGGAGCCGATTAATCGGCTCCTGTCAAGTACCTTTTTTTTGTAAGCCAGATTACCTTCACAGTCTTCCACCCGTAAACGGTTCGTGAAAGGTTTTGTAGCGTGCATGCAAAACCGAACTGAACTACATTACGACGCGAAACTGTCATGTTCGAGAGGTTCCGGTGCAGTATCAAATCAACGGTTGGACTAATGTACCTATAGGAATAATTACAGTATTAACGAACAATTTAAGTAGCAACAAAAAATTACATTTTTTGTTTTGCTTTCTTACCACAGACAAAGGAAAGATTGCCTTCACCGTGCGACTCCGGTAGATCTTCGCCAATCTTCGTTTCGGGATACGAAGCCGAGCGACAACGAAACGACATTAAGCAGTTTGGACGAGAAGCAGCTTGTAAGCTAGCTGAAAGACGAGCGGAGTATGCAAAAAGAAGAATGGAACAAGTGCAAGAGGAGAGTGTGATAATCGAGGTAATAATTGCGTTAAAATTAAATCTCAACTAACAATGAACTATATACAGGGCCAAAATTCAATTTTACCTTGTTTCCAGGGTTATAATCGAAACTGTCACAAATAGTATGCGCATGCCACAAGGAAAAATAAAAAGCTACAAACTCCATCGACTTTACTTTTTTACGCAACAACGAGTTTCTACTTTGTATAACACTCAGTTATACACCGCATCTCTCATTTTTGTTCATAAAATCACTGTAAAATGTCAAAGACGAGAGGCAGGAGAAGCTAACTAAACCGTAGCCGGGCTCAATTCCCAGCTCGCGCTGTTCCTGGTGGGGTATTCTGTAGTTACGACAAGACAGGTTTTCTGGTTTAGAGAACAGGCGTTAAACGATATTCTTTTTTTGTCCAATACTTTAGCGCAACATAGAGGAAGCCATCATCAACAAACTAGAACTACTTAAAGTGGCCGACGAGTTAGAAAAGCAAAGGGAATTCTTCAAAGGCCGAAAAGCTAAATTATGGCGGCGATGTGCAAACATGGCGGAAATCTTGGCCAAAGAAGAAACAGAAGCAGCATTATGGCAGCAAAGATATAAGAAAGCTATGATGGTTGCGCCAGGGAACATGGCATTTTTCTGAACAGCATACATTCATGTTGCTAAAGCCATGCGCAGTGTCGTCACAGCACGACAGCCTCGTTCTGGAATCAAGGTTGATAGAACCGAACCAGAGAAATGCCCCGTCAGCTCAAGGAAGTCGAGCACAATGCATTGTCAAGTTTGTATTGAAATTTGAAAAAAAAGGAACATTGCAAACTATACTGAGGAACTTAATACCAAAGAGAAAGGCTTAAAACAGATTTCCGACAAAATCAATAGAGGCTTCAATAACCGATCAAGACAATGATTAATACCGAAAACAACGTCCATTACACAAGAGAGACGCAAGCAGCTCATGATGGCGCTTAATCTAATTTACTATTTGTCAAGTCATTTCACCCTTAATAGCGACCAGCAGATAATTTTTTCTTAAATCACCTCTAGATTAGACTTTCATAACAACAAAGAGAACGATAAATGTCAAAAATAAGAAAAAAAACATAGAAAATTATTACAGAAGAGATTGAAGAAGAATAGATGTTGATGAGGGACTGTACTGAAATTTAGTTCCATCGCGATCACGATTTAAACATGAACAAATATCATATTATTATTCAATTAATAATCTTTATATCGCGACTGGACTCGCCGGCAGTCGGCGCTAAAAGTAGCCTGCTGGCAAGGTCATCCGACTAGGGGGCCATTTTTTTTTAACGTGGAAAAGGGGTAACTGTCACTTACAAGCTCCCTCCACAAAAAACTGAATAAAATAGAGTTTTTTTCACCAGTGAGTTAATTTATAATTAAATGAAAACTGTGTACCTTGGAATGTGACAGGGGCGGATCCAGGATTTTTTTTAGGAGGGGGTGCACTCGTCTCTTGCTCTACTTCAACACCAATAAACCACATAGTTTTTTTCTTTTTGCAGAATACCAGTTGTATTAGAAAACCGCAGGTCATCTCAGGGAGGGGTGCGCACCCCCTGCACCCTCCCCGTAGATCCGCCCCTGTGTGAAGAATATTTAACATCTTTCGCTGCATGTAAGGTGATCCAAGGCAGTCTTGGATTGTGGATTCGGGATTTCAGTTACTGGATTCCAATCTTTGTCAGGGGAACTTGGATTCTGGATTTCAATCATCAGTGGGATTCTGGATTCCTTGAGCTGTAATTCGGATTCCAAAGTCGAAAATAAAGAACAAACGTCAAACCCGCCCTCCAAAAAACAACTGTGCACTTGGTGGATTGCCCTGCTAGCAGAGTCGCTCTTCGATCTTTCCTAGATAAGTCGGGAAAGAGGAAGCGACTTTGCGGACATCTTCTAAATCGTTTGATCTCCCAATCATCCAGCTTTTTGGATGAGTCAGACAAATCGTTATACTGGATAAACCAGTTTTATCTGTGCACACACGCATATTCTGGAGTTTTGCTGACTCTTTCTGCGCCCACGCTCCATAACAAAACAAATAAATTTCATGCTGCAGGAATTTTGAGAAAATTATAGATTGAACGTTAAGTTTTAGCCAAATGAGAAAATGCACCCAGATTCGAGATGGATTTTTTTTGGATTTAACCATGGAGTTAGGCGATTTTACTTGCGTGAACGGATCCACAATCAAATGGGTTTTGAATGAAAATATTTAAGAAACAATATCTAATGCTTATTCTTTTGTGTTTGCTATAACATTAATTCAAAATAAGATCATGAGGCTACAGAATCCATGTTGCATTTAAATGATCGATGCTAGCGCTTTTACAGCTGTTTGTGTGTACCTGTGATGCCAAAAACATCTTTGGATTTTGTGTTTTTCTACGACGTCAATCAAAATCTGAAGAAGCCGCTCTTTCTTCGTGCGCTTTCTCGCCTTCACATCTTAGCGAACCTCTTAGGAAAAAAAAGGTCGTAGTTTGTGATTTGTGGTTGGTGGATTTCGATCCGTTTTGTTTGTGTCTGTGTTTCAAGCTTAGTTGCTTTGTTTTTGAAAAGCACAGTAAGTTTTACCTTCTTAGCTCTAAGATTTTTTTTAACTTCTTTACACTGAAACATGGCGAGTTTAGATTCCAAAGGTGAAATTGTTCCTATAGAGCTTCCAAATCCAGAGGAGACACAGCTACGGAAGGGTAAAAACGAACCGGTACGTTCCCGCTAACGTTTACATTTGCTGACAAACGCAGTGGATGCTACGGTAACGGTTTGATTGACGTCGCAGAAAAATTTGAATTTGGAGCATGCTCAATATGAATTGTCGAGGATGTCGGCAGAGCATTCTCGTCCCCAGAGCCCTTCGTTTCTTGGTCACGTGGTCGGGAAACGAGGGGCTGCAACTGGTCGGTTACAAATTAAGCCGAGTGGCTCTGGGGACGGAAATGGTCGGCAGAGGTTCCTTCCTCTTCCCGACTTATCTAGGAAGATCGAATGAGACTCTGTTCGCAGGGTATTGGTCTCAGCCTTTGCCATCAGTGCACGACTTTTCTTCATCCAGTTCTTGGATGCGCTTTTAAGAATTCCTCCGGGACTCACCTTTGACAAATCGAGAGATCAACAAATATTGACAGGATGAAAATTCACTTTTCGGAGCAAGTTAAGTGACCGCTGTAATCTCTCGTCTTAGCTCTCTAACATATATCACTCGCGGATTCAGACCTTCAGATAAGGGGTGGGCCCGGTCATTCAGATCCTGGGATAAAGGGAAGGGGGGAAAAGGAGGGCAGGGGAGGGGGGGGGGCGGTCTCAAAACATTTTTTTTCGTGCTCCTCGAGCCTTAGTTTGGTCTGAAAAGAAGGGGAACCCCAGGCCTCCCGGGCCCTTGCCCTGGATCCGCCTCTGTATATGATCAAAGTAGTCACGTTTCCTAACGCCTCGTGACCACCAATAAATCGAATTACGCAACAAAGAAACCTGCCTGCAGCTGTACACTGGCAACATGGGTTGACGTCACCATCGACTATTTTGCCGCCAACTTTCCACATCGGAAGGTCTTTGTATTTGCAATAGTGTGAAGCCTTACGCAGTAGTCTATACATTGCTCATTTCTTGCACATACTCTCCTAATTTCGTTACCCACGCAAAGGCAGTGAAACTCCAGCTCATTTAAAACGTAAGCGGAGATATATTGCACGGAGAAAGAAGTCACAAAAATACAATATTCATCGTTTTGCACCTGCCTTAGAAGGCGGCCAAAAGAGTACACTTAACTTGAACCCGAATCTATTAACCTTGTATTTGCATTTTTGTCAGACCTTTTCCGGTTAACTTCGGCGTCCTTTTTTGGAAACTTATTTATGCACGTTTAGTATTAGACTTTCAAAAAAGTCCTTCGTCGGATTTCATATGGCGCGGGACGAAGGTCGACCTCTCGCGACCTCCTCGCTCGCTGTCGGCCGCTTCGCAGCCAAACAAGGCTCGCTCCTTGCGTGGAGGTGGGAACAGCAGGTCTTAATTGTCACTTGCCAACACCTCTTCACACATGACCACCCATTAACAGAGGGGTAGAGAGAAAATCATTACAGCAGTGAAAGTTAAAGTGAACCTAAGTGCACACATTCTCTCTCACCGATCTCCTGAAGTTCATGACGTCCACAGAACGTTAAGATTACGTCATTTGAATCATGCGCATAGGCGTTGTTGGTACAGTGAAATTTTTCCTCCGCCGCGAAGCCAGATGCTCTTTTCTTGAACAGAAACTCGCCACCCGTGAGTAAAAGACGGAAGTTTCTTTTACGTGACTTTGCAGCTGGGTCATTGAAATTTGCAACGTATAGAACATTCGCTTACTCCCCGAATTAATTTTGTTTACGTCGAGAATATCGTCACTGTTTTCTCCTGGGACTCTTGAAATTAAAACTAAAATTAAAACTGAAATTTCGCCTGGAATAATTCCCAATTCTTCACGTGAACGAACAGACAGCAGACGGTTAACAGAGCGAGGGATTAAAATAAAAGCCACGCAAGCTCACGTACTCGACTTGAATTCACGCTCCATCTCACACTCAAGTAACGCTTACGCCTACACACACTCCATCGCGCATATACTGATATTTGGAGACGGGACATCTAAAATCCCATTCTGGCTCATCATCTTCCTCTTATTCATGGGTAACCTGGAATATGGAACCGGTCATTCTGAAAGCCACTCTCGTAGGTTAACTTCTTCTTTGTAGCGACTAACCGTATTACGAAACCGTAAGGAAAAATCTTTGATAAGATCTCGCGAGCTCTTCGACTGTTCTAGGAGCACCGGCTACGACCGAATGTTTCCAAATACGTCTGAATTGTCTCAAATGGTTTTCTCTATGATTTTGAAGCCAGTTTGGTTAATTTGGAGCTGCCCTAAAAACTATTTATCCCTTCGTATGTTATAAGAGAACATTGTTTGTCTCGAAAGTTTTAGGTGGCTTTTTCGTTTTATCCTAAACTGTTAGCTACCCTGCAGCTGATCGGTCCGGTCGAAAGAACAAGGAAATGGAGTAGCCGTATTTTCTTTAGAAAATTCCAGGGGACATTAACCTTTGTCGGCTTTTAAACTAAGTTCTTAGGAGACCGTTGTTAACAAATCTCAATATCTTGCTCAGATAAAATGTGAAAAATATAGTAGGCAAGTTAGTAGAAAAAATCGGAATTACTTAGACGACCATATAATGGAGCGGTTATCCAAGTATTTGCTCTTTCGAACAGATATTTTACGGATAGAAGTCCTCGAGTGTCCCCGTTACTGCGTTTGAGAAATGAGCTCAGATCTTTAATAATTAGCTGGACTGAACAAGTTCTAGTCTGTGCATATCATGATGAGTAGATGTTTTGATATACGCATTATTTACAATAAACAACATTTCTCGTCACTTTTAGCATCTTACGAAGATGAAAAGCCTCTATGCAATTTTCAGGAAGACCATATTGTCTGGGATCGGCATTATACGCTCAAGGTAAGCTTAAAATACAAATTAAGTGATTTGCATAACAAATTTCCTGTTTTGGGTAAAACTGGTTCGGAATAGACTACGAGTAGTCCCCATTTTTCCTCAGGGATAGGAGAGCGCGCGTGAAAATCACCCCACGCGTCTCGCCTTTCTCGCGTGAGGTGATTTTCACGCGCACTCGCGTTTCGCTCGCTCTACTATCCCTGATCGAGGAATAATTGGGGACTACTCGTAGTCTAGGTTCGGAATAATTTGGGTTTTAACACCTTTCAGTTTGAAAATGAATTTACTGCAGGAAATTCTAATTAGAAGAAGTATAAAATAACTCCTTAACTCTTTTCATCATTTTTGTCAAATTCCTAAGATAATCATTAATTTCACCTATATCCAGAAATGTACATGACCCGGCCCCTTCAGGCACTTCACTTGACTTCACTTTGATTCCTTGTAATTTTAATATATTTTACTTCATGTTTCAAAGAATTACTTGCATTTGGATGACGATTATCACTAGGATAGGGGAGACTTTGTGAAGTCTATTGTAACCATTATGAATCTCATAACAGTGTATTTCTGGGCATAATTTGTTAATTTTTGGGGCTGTCAAATCGCGTTACCATTGTCTCGCCCATCCAAGACAGTCTTGGATTCTGGATTCCATTTTGTGGATTCAGGATTCTAGGATATGTATTCCGGATACTTTGTCGGTGGAACTTACACCAGTCGTTGGCGGGATTCCGGATTTCTTTGAGCTGAGTTCCGGATTCCAAAGCACAAGATTCTTGTTTCTACAAACTCTCGAATCCAGATTAAATTACTTGGGGCAAATTATACACCATACATTTCTGGTAAACTACCAACCTACCCCTTCCCTAAGCCGACACGGCTTAACACTTACTTCTCACTTAAGGCAAAATGTTGGCTTAGGGAAGGGGTAGGTGGGAATATTCCCAGAAACGTATATAATGATCCCATTATCATGCCAATTTTCATACTGTGTTATCAAAGAAGTATGTCATATTCTTTGTGCACAGGATTTGTCCCGTATCGAGGTGAAGATTCAAAGCATCGAAAGTCCAACTTCGTTGAGCGACAACTTTTTCGTTCCCATTACAGAAGACAAAGAGCGATGTCGCTCTCCAGAACTCTTATACCCACCTATTGCGAATATAGCAGAGGTATTTAACGTATTTGTTACTACGCTGTACAGTACTTTGAACCGCGGCAGGATTAGCTCAGTACAAGAGAGAAAATGAGACATAGAGGGAATCTTAGGGCGTTGGCTAGGATATGTGAATTTCCTAAAGTCATTTTTAGAGGTTGTAAGTAAACGGAAGTCTATTTTCTCGGATGTGCGCAGATTTAAATCGATGGTTTGAAATATTATCGAGTCCTTTGACTAGCTCAAAGCGAAAAATACAGAATATTATAATGGCGACTCGGTTAAATTCTCTCTTGAACTGGCAATGAATGAAAATTTGCGAAACTCCCCGGAAATCAACTTCCGATTAATTTAAGCGTTCATTGATCCAAAAATAACTTTGGTGAAATTTGCATACCCAAGAGCTAGACTTGGAGCGAGCGAAACGCGAGCGCGCATGAAAATCAACCCAACGGGAAAGGCGAGACGTGGCGGTGAGAGAGAAAAGTGAGGAACTACAGACAAAACCCAAGCTTTTGACCTTATGCGTTGTTCTCACATTTTTCTCTCTAGTCTCACCGCCGCGTCTCGCCTTTCTCTCGTGGGTTGATTTTCACGGGCGCTCGCGTTCGCTAGCTCTACTATCCCTGAGGATGGGGACTACTCGTAGTATACCCAAGGGCTGGACTGAGCGTTCCCTTCTCTGACTATTATTCTCTCTTGGTAGAGCGCCAACCTCGTTCTCAGGGTACTCTCCTTCTCTTTTTCGGAGCGAGAAGACCCTGGGAACGAGGGTAGGAATAGCTCTTGACTGCAGAACGGCCGGACGTCATGGGTTCGATTTCCGGGGCCAGACCAATACCAGGGTCTTAAAATAACCGGGAAATGAAAGTACTTCCTTCATTTCCTTCGCGTGGCTCGGATAACTACGAAAAATGTCAGTTCCGTCTCCTGAAGGAGACGTGAAAGTAGTATCCACAATGAATACTTTCATGCATGATACATTGATACTCAAATCAAGAACCTTTTTTTTGTAAGACGAATTACCTTCAGAGTCTTCCGCCAGTAAACAGTCCGTAAAAGGTTTTGTAGCGTACATGCAAAACCAAACTGGACTACATTACGAGTTGAAACTGTTTGACAGGTTCCGGTGCGGTAACGAATCAACGTTTGGACTAGAGTACCTAAGGGTATAACTACAGTATCAACGAACAATTTAAGTAGCAACAAAAAATTATATATATTTTTTTTGGTTTTGCCTTCTTACCACAGACAAAGGAAAGATTGCCTTCACCGTGCGACTCCGGTAGATCTTCGCCAATCTTCGTTTCGGAATACGAAGCCGAGCGACAACGAAACGACATTAAGCAGTTTGGACGAGAAGCAGCTTGTAAGTTAGCTGAAAGGCGAGCGGAGTATGCAAAAAGAAGAATGGAACAAGTACAAGAGGAGACTGTCATAATCGAGGTAATAATTGCGCTGAAATTAAATCTCAACTAATAATGAACTCTATAGGGCCAAAATTCAATTAAACCTTGTTTCCAGGGTTATAATCGAAACGTGTCAAAAATAGTATGCCCATGCCACAAGGGTAAATAAAAAGCCACAAACTCCATCGACGTCACCTTTTTAAACAATGACGAGTTTCTACTTTGTACAACACTTTTATTGGCAGCATCTCTTATTTTTGTCCATAAAATTACCGTGAAATGTCAAAGACAAGAGGCAGGAGAAGCTAACTAAAGGTGCTAGCCGGGCTCAATTCCAAGCTCGCGCTGTTCCGGAAAGCCTCAAGGTGGCGGGGTATTCTGTAGTTACCACAAGACAGGTTTTCTGGTTTAGAGAACAGGCGTTAAACGATATTCTTTTTTTGTCCAATACTTTAGCGTAACATAGAGGAAGCCATCATCAACAAGCTAGAACTACTTAAAATGGCCGACGAGTTAGAAAAGCAAAGGGAATTCTTCAAAGGCCGAAAAGCTAAATTATGGCGGCGATGTGCAAACATGGCGGAAATTTTGGCCAAAGAAGAGACTGAAGCAGCATTATGGCAGCAAAGATATAAGAAAGCTATAATGGTTGCGCCAGGGAACATGGCATTTTTCTGAACAGCATACATTCATGTTGCTAAAAGCCATGCGCAGTGCCGTCACAGCACGACAGCCTCGTTCTGGAATCAAGGTTGATAGAACCGAACTAGAGAAATGCCCCGTCAGCTCAAGGAAATCGAGCATAATGTATCGTCAAGTTTGTATTGAAATTTGAAAACAGGAACATTGCAACCTGAGGAACTTAATACCAAAGAGAAAGACTTAAAACAGATTTGTGACAAAATTAATAGAGGCTTCAACAACCGATCAAGACAACGATCAGTACCGAAAACAACGTCCATTACACAAGAAAGACGCAAGCAGCTCATGATGGCGCTTAATCTTATTTACTATTTGTCAAGTCATGTCACCCTTAATAGCGACCATCAGATAATTTCTTCCTAAATCACCTCTAGATTAGACTTTCATAACAACAAAGAGAACGATGAATGTCAATAATAAGAAAGAAAAAACATTGAAAATTATGACAGAAGAGATTGAAGAAGAATAGATGCTGATGAAAGACTGTATTGAAATTTAGTTCCATCACGATTTAAACATGGACAAATATTATATTATTGTTTAATTATGATAAACATTATATCGCTACTGGAGTCGCTGGCAGTCGGCGCTAAAAGTAACCTGCTGGCAAGGTCATCCGACAAGGGGGCCTTTTTTTTTTAATGTGAAAAAGGGTAACTGTCATTTACAAGCTCCCTCCACCAAAAACTGAATAAAAGAGAATTTTTTCACCAGTGAGTTAATTTATAATTAAATGAAAACTGTGTACGTCGGAATGTGAAGAATAGTTAACATCTTTTGCCGCATGTAAGGTGATTCAAGGTCCAAGTCTTGGATTGTGGATTCCGGATTTCAGTTACTGGATTCCAATCTTTGTCAGTGGAACTTGGATTCTAGATTTCAATCTTCAGTGGGATTCCGGATTCCTTGAGCTGTAGTCCGGATTCCAAAGTCCAGGATTCTGGATTCCACAAGCAAAATTTTCCCGGATTCCGGACGAAGTCTTATGACTTTTAGCTACCCTGCAGCTGATCGGTCCGGTCGAAAGAACAAGGAAATGGAGTAGCCGTATTTTCTTTAGAAAATTCCAGGGGACATTAACCTTTGTCGGCTTTTAAACTAAGTTCTTAGGAGACCGTTGTTAACAAATCTCAATATCTTGCTCAGATAAAATGTGAAAAATATAGTAGGCAAGTTAGTAGAAAAAATCGGAATTACTTAGACGACCATATAATGGAGCGGTTATCCAAGTATTTGCTCTTTCGAACAGATATTTTACGGATAGAAGTCCTCGAGTGTCCCCGTTACTGCGTTTGAGAAATGAGCTCAGATCTTTAATAATTAGCTGGACTGAACAAGTTCTAGTCTGTGCATATCATGATGAGTAGATGTTTTGATATACGCATTATTTACAATAAACAACATTTCTCGTCACTTTTAGCATCTTACGAAGATGAAAAGCCTCTATGCAATTTTCAGGAAGACCATATTGTCTGGGATCGGCATTATACGCTCAAGGTAAGCTTAAAATACAAATTAAGTGATTTGCATAACAAATTTCCTGTTTTGGGTAAAACTGGTTCGGAATAGACTACGAGTAGTCCCCATTTTTCCTCAGGGATAGGAGAGCGCGCGTGAAAATCACCCCACGCGTCTCGCCTTTCTCGCGTGAGGTGATTTTCACGCGCACTCGCGTTTCGCTCGCTCTACTATCCCTGATCGAGGAATAATTGGGGACTACTCGTAGTCTAGGTTCGGAATAATTTGGGTTTTAACACCTTTCAGTTTGAAAATGAATTTACTGCAGGAAATTCTAATTAGAAGAAGTATAAAATAACTCCTTAACTCTTTTCATCATTTTTGTCAAATTCCTAAGATAATCATTAATTTCACCTATATCCAGAAATGTACATGACCCGGCCCCTTCAGGCACTTCACTTGACTTCACTTTGATTCCTTGTAATTTTAATATATTTTACTTCATGTTTCAAAGAATTACTTGCATTTGGATGACGATTATCACTAGGATAGGGGAGACTTTGTGAAGTCTATTGTAACCATTATGAATCTCATAACAGTGTATTTCTGGGCATAATTTGTTAATTTTTGGGGCTGTCAAATCGCGTTACCATTGTCTCGCCCATCCAAGACAGTCTTGGATTCTGGATTCCATTTTGTGGATTCAGGATTCTAGGATATGTATTCCGGATACTTTGTCGGTGGAACTTACACCAGTCGTTGGCGGGATTCCGGATTTCTTTGAGCTGAGTTCCGGATTCCAAAGCACAAGATTCTTGTTTCTACAAACTCTCGAATCCAGATTAAATTACTTGGGGCAAATTATACACCATACATTTCTGGTAAACTACCAACCTACCCCTTCCCTAAGCCGACACGGCTTAACACTTACTTCTCACTTAAGGCAAAATGTTGGCTTAGGGAAGGGGTAGGTGGGAATATTCCCAGAAACGTATATAATGATCCCATTATCATGCCAATTTTCATACTGTGTTATCAAAGAAGTATGTCATATTCTTTGTGCACAGGATTTGTCCCGTATCGAGGTGAAGATTCAAAGCATCGAAAGTCCAACTTCGTTGAGCGACAACTTTTTCGTTCCCATTACAGAAGACAAAGAGCGATGTCGCTCTCCAGAACTCTTATACCCACCTATTGCGAATATAGCAGAGGTATTTAACGTATTTGTTACT